CCTGAAACAGCTCCTACGCTCTTGTTTCCATGCCAGGGCGGTTTTTTCCCCTTTACTCAGCAATATCCAACTTTCCGGAGCAGGATGCTGCTGGAGGATGGGCGAAAGCACGTGCTTTTTGGGGGGCTGGAGCTACAGCAGTGCGTTGTGCTCTGCTGTCCGTGCCTCCCTTGAAGCTCCGATTGATCCCAGCAACAGCAAATGTAAAAATAGATGCCGGGTGCTTTGTGCCTTCCCTCCCAAACCCGCCTTCCCCGCTACGCGTCTCGCCGTTCTCCTTGAATCCCGGCGGAGGTGAGCGGGAGGAGAGAGGAGCCGGTGTGCAGGGAAGGGTTTTACTGAGACTGTCCGGAGGCAGTTCGGATGCACCGATTCAACGTGGTGACCTAAATCGGTGTGCACGGCTGCACGAGGGGGGTTGGGGAGGGCTCCACCCTACCTCAGCGCTCACGAGCCGTGTCACTGCGTCGGGATGTGAGCTTGCAAACCCCGGGAGCGTATCTCGCTTCCCAGGAGCTGCCCGAGAGCTTGAAGCGGCCTCTGTCCACTTCCCCTTTCCAGGGTGTCTGCAGGGAGTTTTCGGTTTGAGGTTTCCTCTCCTGTCGCTGTGTGCTGGGGCGGTTTGCTGCTTCCTTCCCCCTGCAGACTTCCCCGGGGGTGTGCCTGCCCCTTCCCTGCTGCAGCATCCATGGAGTGGTGCTGGGAGAAACCCTTGCCTTGGGGGATGCAGCCCCAGCATGCTGCAGTCTTAGAATCATGGAATGGTTTGGGTGGGAAGGGACCTTAAAACCCACCCAGTCCCACCCCCTGCCATGGGCAGGGACACCTTCCACTAGACCAGGTTGCTCCAAGCCTCATCCAGCCTGGCCTTGGACACTTCCAGGGATGGGGCATCCACAGCTTCTCTGGGCCACCTGTCCCAGTGCCTCCCCACCCTCTGCGGGAAGAATTTCTTCCTGATGTCCCATCTCAATCTCCCTCCTTAGGTTTAACCCCGTTACCCCTGTCCTGTCACTCCCTGCCCTTGGAATAAGTCCCCCCCAGCTTCCTTGTAGCCCCCCCCAGGCACTGGAAGGTGCTATAAGGCCTCCCCGGAGCCTTCCCTTCTCCAGGCTGAACACCCCAACTCTCCCAGCCTGTCCCCATGGCAGAGGGGCTCCAGCCCTCGGAGCATCTCCGTGACCTCTGGACTCTCTCCAACAGCTCCTTCTGCTGTTGGGGGACCCAGAGCTGGATCCAGAGCAGAGCAGAGGGGGAGAATCCCCTCCCTCGCCCTGCTGGCCACGCTGCTCCTGATCCAGCCCAGGATCCGGTTGGCTTTCTGGGCTGCCAGCGCACACGGCCGGCTCATGGCCAGCTTCTCGCCCCGCAGCACCCCCAGTCCTTCTCCTCCGGGCTGTTCCCAGTCCATTCTCTGCCCAGCCTGTCCTTGTGCTTGTACAGTGCTGCAACACACAGAGGCACTGAACCCGTGGGGTGTGAGAGGGAAGAATCTGGGGGGTTTTAAGCAAAAGGTACTGGCCTGAACCTTCAGCCCGTGTCTTTGAGGTGGCTTGGGCTGGACGCGTCGCATTGGAGATGCCTGAGCCAGCCCAGCTCTCCGTACGGCCAGGGCTGGGGTGTCTCAGCAGCAGTGTCGGGTGGGCAGTGGCTCAGGGGTGGAAAAGAGCAGCTCTCAGTGGAGCAGAAGGATGTTGGTACAGGATCAGCAGGCTGGGAAGCTGCAGGTTTCATCATTTGCTCCGTGTTCAAGGAGGAGACCTGTTTCCAGGTGTAGGGAGCAAGGGAAGGAGCACAGCTGGGCATCAAGCATGACTCCGCAGCCAGGGGCAATCCTGGTCCCAGTCAGCAGTAGCTCTGTGGTGGTGGAGCTGTTCAATTAAGTATTTTTTTTAATGAGCAAAGTCTGTCTTGGCATGTGACCCTCCAAACGTTACTAGGAACAGGGAGTAGGTGTCCAGAAGTGGGTGGCTTGTCCTGGACGTCCTGTGCAGTGAGGAGCTGGACCCGAGCTGGTGGCACCATCCTCAGGAGAGGCCTCCAAAACACCTGAGAAGCATTTCCGTGCAGTCCTCGGTCCCCGGTGCAGGACATCCTTGGCATGGCTTCCTCAATCTCCCAGTGCTCCACGGTGCCAGCACCTCTCACGCCTGCTTTTTCAGACCTGGAAAAGGGTTTGGATGGGCTGAAGCTGGTCTGTTTTTCCAGGCGTATCATCTAGTCCCATGAAAGAGATCATATTCCCTTCTGAGGTTTGGGCTCGGGTCATCCCAACCCAGAAACGCCCCTAGTCAAGGCTTCCCCCCAAGGGCAGCTTGTGGAGGAAACATGGGAAACCGAGGGGTGTGGGATGGTGCTAATAGGGAAAAGATGCTATGGGAGTTTGTGTTTAGCTGGGCCGGGACTTGAATCCCACCCCAATCCCGTTCTCCTGCTGCATCCCAGCCACGGCAGTGTTCGCACACCCTGTTCCCACTAGAACGGATTCATAAAAACAAAAGAAAGCCAACATGGAACAACTTAATCCTCCCAAACACTCATCGTGTCTCATAAACTTGGAGCTCAGCCTGTAAATAGCTCTGTTCCCCGTTGGAGGTGTAGTGCCGACTGCCGATCCTGGGAAGCAGAAACAGCTCCTGAAGCCGGTGTAAACGGAGGTTTTTCCTTGAACGGACGCTTTCTGAAGCAGATCAGGTTTTAAGGCTGGTTCTTCCGAAGGCGTTGCCGAGCACCCTCATTAATTTTAATGACCACAGGGGTGGAAGTGATGGGGTGGGAGATGCTGAGAGCGTGTCCGTGTGAGCTGAGCCAGCGGCAGGGCTCCTGCAGCTCGTCATCCTCACGCTCGTGCCTTTCCTTATGTTAGTCCCAGATTTTCTCTATTTTTTTGCCATGGGATGACATAAGCTAGAAAATCTACTTGTGAGGGTTTGGATTTTTTTTTTTTGCTTTTCCTGCTAAATGATTCAGCCCCCAAATCTCTCCTTCCCCAGCTGGCAGGCTGCTGCAGCCCTTCCCTCTTGAACTTCTTCCAGGTCTTGCATCAAATTGAGCAACATAATATGTGATGTGCCGTGCCAAGCAGCCTTTTCCTCATGGCTCCTACGGGAAGCGCGTGCCTGACTCACCTGCTCCTGTTCCCTGGCAGCGGATCAGCCTGGTCGGGTGTCTCTTTGCAGCCCATGACTCGCTGGGGGTTAATGCTGGGTTTTTTCAGGTGGCTTTTTTTTTTTCCCTTCATGCCTGGATATTTCTAAACTCGAAGCCTGAGTACTGAAAATTTTGCAGTGGGCATCGTGTGGGTTTGGGATAAGCAAGTGGTAGGAATGGGAACAGGTTCACTGGGGATCTAACGCCACGTCTGTGCCCAGCGAAGTCCTGGGCGTTGTCCTTCCTGCGTTTCGGTGGCAGCAGAATTGGATGGGGAAGGACCTGGGTACGCTCCTGGCACTTGTCCTGGCATCCCAGCAGGGAGTTAGACATTTTGTGCTCCCTTCCCAAGGTAGAGCGTGGGCTCCCCAGGCTTTCCGGCTCCTCTCTTCGTCCGAGAAGCGCTAACTTCCCCCAGCAGGATTCCAGAAACATTGGGAGAACAGGATTCAAGTTTTCTCCTTGCCCTGGTGATTTCCGCCTGGTCACACCCAGCTCTGTCCCTTCACATTTTCCTTCCCTTAATTTTTATTTTCAGTGACTTCACTTTTCACGTGGATGTGAAACACCGCTGGGATTTCTATTTTCTGGAAATCATTGGCAAATAGTTAATCCAGGTCTAGAAGTTTTTGCCACCGCCCGTTGCCTGCTGTGCCTGTGGAGCATGTCGCAGAGAAACAGGGTCTGTCCTGGGCCTGCAGGTTTCCCTGCGCTTTGTTAAGGGGAATTTTAATGCTCTGATCCAGGGGGGATCAGAGCTGCCGGCAGCAGCTGTGCTGGGGACCTGCTCATCCTGCTGCAGCCGCCCTGGGATGTGGAGCCCGGAACTGGGGCGGAAAGGCAGAGCATCTCACCTGAGAAGGGAGCGAAAACCACTGGGTCAGCGGTGGTTTTGGGGAAGAAGTGGTTCCCTCCTGGCCCCTGTTTCGTGCTGCCCTGTCAGAACGTGTTACCACTGTGAACTGGAGAGCTGGAGGGTGTCTCCAGGCTTCTCTCGCTTTGTGTCCTCTCGCCCTCCGTTCGCTCCGGTTGGCAGGAGGCAATCCCCTCCCTCATTGCATACCAGCGTTGCTCCGCGGCCTGCCCGTGCCCAGGCTATTCCCTGCGGAAGGAATCTAAATCTCCCCTCTCTCAGTCTAAATCCAGCAACCTGGGTGGGGTTGGGTTGTGTAGGTGCTGCACGGCAGCTCCTCCTGCCCGTAAAAGGCCCCCGGGATCCCCCATCCTCTAAATGCCTGATGCAAGGACAATTCTAGGCAAACCAGCACCTTCATTTAGGGTGAGGCACGGAGGGTTTGGCTTAGAGCTGGTTTAGTGAATGTCGTGGAGTGCCTTTGCCGTCAGGGTGCCGTCTCAGACGTGAAAGGATTTGTTTGAGTCGCTGGCTCTTGAATATTTGAAACGCAAGCACAAAGCACTGTCTTTTTCCAACATGGGCTCACAGCAACGCATCAAGTGACTGCAGAAAAATTTGGCCACCAGTTCCTTCCCCCCCCCCCAAGAACGCGTGGTAGGATCTGGATGGCGTTTTCCGGGTTGTTTAGTGGAAGTGCTTTAGGAGGGGGATGGAGACAGAGCTCTCACGAAGCCGCTGCGGCTCGGGGGGAGGTCTGGTTCTGTGCGCTTGGTGCTTGCGTGTCTGACTCGGGTCTTGGGTGGCTTTTGGGGCGCCTGTGCTAGCTCCCACCCAGCAGCGTCCCGCCCGAGGTCTTCCTCCTTTGTGGGAATGACGGAGAGGCCTTTCCTTTTCTATCCCCTTTGGCTCCAGGTGGCACAAACTACACTCCAAGGCGGGGAAGAAGGAGAAGGAGCGTGGCGAGATCCTGGTGAGCATCCAGTTCACACGCAACAGCCTCACGGCCAGCATGTTCGACCTGTCCATGAAGGACAAGCCGCGGTCGCCCTTCGGCAAGCTGAAGGACAAGGTGAAGGGCAAGAAGAAGTACGACTTGGAGTCGGCCTCAGCCATCATCCCCAGCAGCATGGGTGCCCTCGACGCGGACGATGACTATGACATCGGGGGCAAGAAGGCCAAAGTTAAGGGCTTCTTCTTGAAGAACAAGCTGCGCAAGTCGTCCCTGACGCAATCCAACACCTCCTTGGGATCCGACAGCACCATCTCTTCCGCCAGCCTGGGCTTGGCTGCAAACCTTCCCGAGGTAACCAAATCCCCGAGCAGACACAGCAGTCTGTCCACAGAACGCTCCGGTAAGAGGATAACGGTTTTAATCCCCATCCCCCCCTTTGGTTTTTTATTCCTTCTTTACTTTGTAAGGGGCTGCTGAGGCTTTCCTGCAAATCTGTTCACTGCTTGCTTACCTAAGAAGAGACGTCCTGCACAAACCCTCCAACGCACAAACGCCCCGACACCTTCTGCATGCCGGCGCTAACGCGGAACGGGGCGAGGTGCCAAGGGCTTTGCTTTTCATGCCGAACCTGTGTGTGAACTGCCTGGCTTAGGCCGATGCTGCACGTGCTCCCTGTAGCTTGCGGGCTACGGGGTGCTCTAGGACTGCTTGTACCCCCTAGAAGCAGGTGGCTAACACCGGCTCGTAGCAGGAAGCCCCTGGGAGAGGACTGAGCGAAGCGGAGGACGTTGCCGCTGCCCGCTTGTCTAACGAGACGCCTCCGGCTCGGAGGCAAAGCTCAAACAGTGACCGGTTCGTGGTGATTAAAGCAATCTGAGCTCTTGGCGCGTGCAGAACGGCGATTTGCAAACAAAAAAGGCCCTTGTGAATTAATTGTTGCTGTCCCTTGAAAACAAAATATATAATTAAATAAGTTAATTGGCTGGAGACAGCAAATTCCCACATTGGTTGGGAGTCCCTGGGTGCTGCTTCCCACCATGGCCCGTGTGATGCCTCTCTGCAGTGGGAGGGGATGTGCCTGGGGGGAGTATCACGTAGCTCCTATCGCCACAAACTTGTGAGCCACGCTTCTTCCCAGAGAGGGTGGAGAGGCACGACAGGTTGCCCAGAGAAGCTGTGGATGCCCCATCCCTGGAAGTGTCCAAGGCCAGGCTGGATGAGGCTTGGAGCAACCTGGGCTAGTGGAAGGTGTCCCTGCCCATGGCAGGGGGTGGGACTGGGTGGGCTTTACGGTCCCTTCCAGCCCAAACCATTCTGTGATTCTATGATTCTGTGCTTTGAATTTCTGCTAATTTAATTATAATTCGGTGGAGCCTGGGAGGGGAAAAAAAAAAAGTAGGATTTCACAGATTTCCTCAGTGTTTGCAAGTAGAAGGTAACGACACTTGTCATACCTGTGCCTGATAACTCAGGTTGTTTCCTGTTTCATTTCCCAGTGAAAGACTACTTGCCATCTCCAAAGCTGACCCACAAGAGAGCGTTCAGTGACGATGTCTCCCAAGTCAGCCCAGTCCTGGAGCCCAAAGCAATCCAGAGCCTGAAGCCAAAGAACGATCCTGTGTCCCGGTCTTCCCTCTGCATCAACGGGAGCCACGTTTACAGCGACGAGCCTGCACCGAAGAGCCCCGTGTCTGTCCCGCAGAGCTCCGCACCGCTGCCCGTGCCCAGCATCCCCAGACGGCAGGAGGAGGGCTTCGGCTTCACCCCCCTCCAGCCCGACTCCCACGAGGTGCCGTGGGGGGTCAGCAGCTTTGAGAGAACGCAGCAGAGAGACGAGCCCAGGTTCATCCCGTCTCCTCCCAGCTTAGTCCTGCAAGAAGAGCTCAAGGTCTCCACGAAAGCCGTCACTCTCAGTAACCATCTGGGCAGGGCCAAGATGGAAGAAAACAGTCGCTTAGAGAACAAGCCAACTCAAGCTGCAGCACCCATGGTCTTCACGGACACGACAAAGGACAAACAGCCTGAGGAAATGAGGAAGGAAGAGAAGAAAGCGAAGGGCGGCCTCTTCCACCACGGTAGCAACAAGAGCGACGTGGGGAGCAAAGGCCAGGGGGAGAAGGCGGGACCCCCCCACGGCTCGTCAGGCCAGGCAACGGCAGGGGGAGATGAGAGGATTAAACACAGTGGCTGGTTCGGTTCAAAGGAGCCCAGAGAGTCCCCACAGAAACCCAGGTCAGTGGGACGGGGGTGGGATGTTGACGTCTGGGCCGTTAATAGCTGCCCCAGCCTCCCCTCTCCAGCAGCTGCCCTGTTAGCTGCTCTCCAGCATCAGCAGAGGACTGGGCCCCATTGCTCAGGCGAGGTGATAGCTGGGGAAATGCATCCCTGGTCTGAAATGTCCCAAAAGAAGGGGGATTTTTCCTGGATCCTCCCCTGGCTTCTGCCACAAAAGTTTCTGTGAACTCGAAGTAAAAGGTCGTTATCCTTTAGTAGCTAAAAAAGCTTCCCTGGCAGTCAGGGCAGGATGTGGGACAGTGTGACATGTAATCACCTCGTTTTTATTAACCTCCCACCCTCTGCCATCACCGGTCCAGCCTGGGGGTGCAGCACTTGGGGAACTTGAGATACAATTCCTGTTTCTGAAATAACTAATCCCAGTCCTGCTTTTCCCTCTTCCCATCCCATCCCAGCCTTCCCTCCTCCTGATTACGAATCTCTGACGGTTCTCACTTCGCGTGACGACTCACAGGGTCCAGAGGTCGACCGAGAACGCGGTGCGGTGTTACTGCTCAGCAGGAGGGAGAACACGGGCTTGAGAGCCGCCGGAGGAAATAACGAGCAGTCGAGAGCTGCTGGAAGCTAGAGGATTGATGCGTTTTTTTATAGGGGTTTTCTAATCTGGGTTGACTTTAACCTAATTTATTAAGCAGAAGGATTTTAATTCAGTCTAAGCCTCCTTTAACGAGGAGGGCGCTCGTGGTGTACGCAGCCTGACCAGACTCCCACGCGGGTTAAACCGCTTTGGGGGTGCTGCTCAGACCCAAGCGCGGGGGCGAGCGCATCGCTCGGCGTGGATTCAGCACCGGGGCAGCCCCAGCACTCCCCCGCTGCTCACCCCACAAGAAGACGTCGTGCTTATTGTGGTCTTTAAGGGCCCTACTTAGGGGTCTTGAAGCCCCGGTAGTTCCTTGCTGGCACATCCCGGAGCAGGGTTTGTGGATGGGACTAACGGAGCCCGGTCTCTGGATGCCGTGACTGAGGGAGGACGGGATCTTACCACCCGTGACGTTTTGCTTAGCGTCGTCTTGCCGTGGCATGCCAAGGAGCCTGTCCGCAGACGGCTGTCTTGTGGGGAGAAACTTGGATGAGCCATGTGCCAGCCGCTCCTCTGGCTGGGGTTTTCTCTCCCAGAAATAGGAATGGCTTTGAAGCAGCACGGGCTGGAGGCAACAAACTCACAGGGGCTGCTTTTGGGGCATTTATAAGCATCTGGATGGGGTTTAATTGCAGTTTGAAAATGGGAAGTAATGAGCTTTAAACTGTAGCACTGGAGATTTAAGGTGGACTTCAGGAGAGGGCTTTAACGGAGATGGTGAAGTGCAGGAGCTGCCTGGCTGGGATGGGGAAGCCTGGGGCTTTGGGCCCAGAATGTTTTGGGCTGGAAGGGACCTTAAAGCCCCCCCAGTCCCAGCCACGGGCAGGGACCCCTTCCACTAGACCAGGTTGCTCCAAGCCTCATCCAGCCTGGCCTTGGACACTTCCAGGGATGGGGCATCCACAGCTTCTCTGGGCAACCTGTCCCAGTGCCTCCCCACCCTCTGCGGGAAGAACTTCTTTCTGATGTCCAATCTCAATCTTCCTCTTTCAGTTTAGACCCGTTACCCCTTGTCCTGTCACTCCCTGCCCTGGGAAAAAGCGTCCCCCACCTTTCTTATAGCCCCTTCAGGCACCGGGACACTTCCAGGGATGGGGCATCCACAGCTTCTCTGGGCAACCTGTCCCAGTGCCTCCCCACCCTCTGCGGGAAGAACTTCTTTCTGATGTCCAATCTCAATCTTCCTCTTTCAGTTTAGACCCGTTACCCCTTGTCCTGTCACTCCCTGCCCTGGGAAAAAGCGTCCCCCACCTTTCTTATAGCCCCTTCAGGCACCGGACCGGTGATTTTGTGGATTTATTCTCCTTCCTTGCACTGCACGACCTTGAGGACCGTGCCAGTGATTGGAGTCAAAGCCGTTGAGGAGTTTATTAGGTCTCGAAGGTGTCGGGTTGACGGTATGATCTGGTGCCATCCGAATTGTGAGAATCAAGTGCGTGTGGTCTCCCCATTTGCGATTGGAAAGTTAGCGGTGCATATCCGTGGGCGTTCCGTGGATGCCCATCGGCATCTGGAGGAGCTATTCAGTTACCAGTGTAACTTCTGGAGCTGAAGATGGATTAACCTTTGCTTTGTAGGGAGAACCAGCCTCCGAATAGTGCGGTTTGACGTCTTTGACGGGTCTGCTTGTCTTTAATCACTCGCTCTTGCACCACCACACCCTCGTGCGGTTTGATGTCTTTGACGTGTCTGTCTTTAACCACTCGCTCTTGCACCACCACACCCTTGCTAAAATAAGGAAGCCGCTGGCTTTCAGCTGGTTTTAACTTCAGCTTTACAAAGGGGTTTTCTGAGTTTTGCTGAGGCATCGGTGAGCGCGGGCGAGCAGGCACTGCCCTGCGAACCGCGAACCTCTCCCTGCTCTCACCCGGGAAAGGGCTGGATGTTTCTGCCTTCAGCCCTCACCTCCACGCTCATTCGCTGACTCCTGGTGAGCAAGCAGGTCCCAAGGCTGTGCTTTTCGGCCCCGGATTTACTAATCTCCGGGGGCTACTGGGCTTTGATTCTGGCTTGAGTGGAAACGGTAGGAAGATAGCGTTTGCTCCTTGGAGTCCTGGATAAAAGACTGTTTGGGGGTTGCTGGTTTTGAGGTTGCGTGGTCAAGGGTTGGATGTAAGGAGGAAGCTCAGCAGGTTTCTTTGAGGCAAAGCCTGGGGCTAAAACAATTGGTTTAACTAGTTTCAGCGTTTCCTACAGTGTTATCAGAGCTCACAGGTCCCGCTTCCTGCGGCATGAGTCGGGATGATAAAACGAGGCTGCATGTCACACTTGGCAGTAGGAAAAAAGAGAAATTGCTCTCTGTCTTGTAAAAATAATCGTGTTAGTGCCATTTGCGGGTTAATGCCCCTTCCCTGTATCGCTGCTTCATGGAGTTGAAACGTAAAATCGCTCCCCTCCTTGGTTCTCACTCCTCTTTCCATAGTCCCTTCTGTCCAGCAGTGAGGCCAAACAGTGACTCGAATTCCTCACTCCTCATCGGGTACTCCCCAAAAAGTACATTTCCTGGATGTTGGAAATGGGAAGGTGGTTTTGAATGGTTGGAGCACAGTCCTTGGACAGGCTGGCCGTGGGGAGCGGCGCAGAGGGCCCAGGTGAGCTCGTGGGTGGGATTGAACCCCAACACGTGTGACAGCCCCCTCCAAAGCACCGTTAACCGGGACTTTCTGAGCAGAAGCCGTGAGGCTGCAGAGTCTGAGGAAGAGGAACACGGCGTTGTGAGAGTGGGGGCGTTACGGTAACAGCGATGCTGCGGATGAGTCCGTCGCGGGAGCCGTCGGGGTCACGTCTTTGGCGCAGGTCTTGTATCCACAGGAGCACTGGATCAGTCACGGTATAAGTGATCAGGGATGGAGCTGGATGTTTTCCCTTGGGCACAACGGGTCTGGGGAGCCTGCAGGGGTGAAAACTGGCTCTTAAAATGCCTCTGCCTTCCTTTTGCCTGCTGAGTCCACATTTCCCAGGGGTGGACACGAAGCAGGATGGTGAATTGGATCCTGAGCTGGCACCAGCTCAGCCCTGGTGAGACAAATCTACTTTGTAACTGTCCAGAGAGAGCACAGCCCCACTCCCACCCCTAAAAACGGGTATTTGGGTTAGCCCTTTGTATCTATCTGAGCTCCTACTGCCCACATCCTATTGTCGCTATTTTCTTTTTAATCCTGTGGTTTTGGGGCAAATCACTATGAAGCAGGACTTGTCCCTTTTAATTGGGATGATGGGCCGGCAAGGACCAACGGGAAAGCAATGTGGTTATTTCAGAGGTACCTAAACCCTTTCTCTCACCTCCAAAATTGCTATTTAAAAGCAATATTTGCTTATATTCTCTGACTTCTTCCCACTTGGGTTCCCGCCCTATACAAACATGTCCTGGGCTGCCATACCCATCTGTTCCCAACCCATTCCCGCCCAAATCCTGCCGAGGAAATTCATGATCCCTACCAGGCTTTGAAGCCAGCACTGGGGCCTCCTTGCACCCTGGTCCTGCTGGTTTTCCACCCTCCCTGGCTGCGTGCCCATCTCCAGGGAAATGGTGAAAAAACCCGTGGTAGGGTCACAGCGCTCCCCTGGATCCAGCCCTCCTAAGAGGGATTTTCCACTCAAACTTGCTCTTAGCCTCGGCACGTTATGGCTGGATTTGAGCCCTGCCCTCCCCAACCCCTTGCGTTTCCAGCGCCTGTGCCGTCGTCTTTATCTTCGCGGCGCAGCTACCCACCCTCTCGCAGATGGGCTGTGATGCCTGGGGACGGTGCTCTGTGACTGCGGAGCTGGGGCTGCTGCCTTCGGTCTGAAATTCCGTCTGCAGTCTGTAGGAAATTAAAAAAAACCCTCTCTCTGCATTGAACAAGCTGTCAAATCCACTTTCCAACAGGGGGTTGCTCAGCAATATTTCCTTTTCTTTTTTTTTTTGTCTGCTGAGAGGCTAAAACGCGCCTGTGAAGCGCTGCCAAACAAATAAATGAGGGCAGAAAGGTACCCGCTATTTATTTTGGCTGGCAAAGCTGTGTGCTGGGGTATGGGAGGAGGAGGGTGAGTCAGCTTTTCAGTGCGGCAGAGATCCTCAGGCTGCTGCAAGCGGAGGTTTCCCTCTAGAGGAATGCGCTATCCTCGGCTCCTCCAGCATCCTTCATCCAGACAGGGGAAACGGGGCTTTCTGGGTGGGGGTGGTAACCAAACTGGGGGGTTGTTATCCCGAGGAAAGGGGGTGAATGGTGACAGTGCTTTGAAACCCCAGGGAAAGACAGGGGCTCTGTTGCCAGGAGTTTGAGGCTGGGAGTGGTCTGTGCAGCCCCTGAGCAAGCTCCAGCGGGTCCCAGTGGGAATAGGGATGGCCAGGAGACAGGAAACTTCAGTAGGGGGTTTTGGAGGAGGAAAACTGGAATCCCACAAAAAAAGAAGATGGATTTAAGTTTTGTCTTTAGCCTGAGCTGCACTTGCTGGGGGAGGACGATGTGGGACCGCTGCCTGGCAGGGGAGAGATTTGGGTCCTCCTGCTCCAGAGGCTGTGTTCCTTCTGGTTTGCTTCCCTCCAGGAAAAGATTCACGTTCACCCACCTTGTTCCCCAGGCGAAGCGCAGCCTTTGTTTTGCTGCATCCTGACACCGATATCTTGGTTGTGACCAGCGTGGGGCAATCAGCAGCTCCCAAAGCACCATCCCAATTTTCGTCATGGCCCAGACCATGCAAGCAGCGGCTTGGGGCTGGGACCAGCTCGTTGGCATGGCTGGGAGTGGCTCTTTCTCAGGAGGTCCAGCACCCTGCGAGCACCGTTGTGACCTGGGGAAGGAAAAGAGGGTCATCCCGGGTGGGTTTGAGGAAACCTTGAGGCTGTTCCTGCCCCTGGGCATGTGGTGACCAGTGCAATGTGGGGAGCGAGGGGCTGCTCCGGAATCAGCCATCCCTGGGGAAGGAACCTCAGCCACTCATCCTTCTGGCAGCTGTGAAGGTCATTAGCAGCAATCACTCATTAGGAGCCTGAAGCTGATTAATGCTCTGTAGCTATTTAGTGCTGGAGCCCAGCAGAGCTGGCTGGATCAGGCCCCAGATGCTCTTACTCAGCACTAAGTGCTGTTTAAGCAGAATCACAAATGAGGGATCTTAATCTGGACCAAACCTTTAAAGCCGAAGCCAGGGAGGAGCGATCGCAGGAGCGGGCGGAGGTAAGGCAGCGGCGTGTGCCATTGGTGGCCACCCCAAGATCCTGGTGGTTTAAGTCGGACCTTGCTGCTTTTCCCCTTCCAGCTGGGAAGGAAAATTTAATGTGTTTTTCCCTGTTCCACCCCAGATAAAACCCATTTGTGGATCCTATGAACTCACCCAGCTGACCCTTGGGTAACGAGCAGCTGTGTTCTTCTGGAGAGCTTAAATTTGAGGGTGATTAGGGGAAAAAGGTCAATTTGCAGCATGTGGCAGCAAACAGGAGCATGTGCTGCAGCGTGTGTGCTCAGCTGTGGGAGTGCAGAGACACCAGGTACTTGTCTGCACCTTCTGCATTCAGACACCCAGGAAAATTGAAGAAATCGGTCAATCTTGAGACCTCTGGGGTGGGAAACACCAAATAGCGGTGAGGGAGAGATGGGCTGCTCCGTCTCCTGGCACAAACACTGCTGTGCTGCCCTGCTGCTGCCTTGGGGGTCGTCTGTCACAGAGCAGCGAGTGGGTCGTGTGCTGGAGATGGGGTTCCAACGCAGAGCATCCCAACCATGAGCTGATTCCCCAGTCACAGCATGCCCGGAGAGGTTGGCTGCCATGTGGAGAACAGCTGCCAGCCTCTCCGTGGTGGTTTGTGCCTAAAGGTCCATCACCTTCTCCCTCAGCTTCTGGAGATTTTCTGAGAGCTCAAAACGCTGGGGAGGAGCTGGGCTGCTCAGTTATCTTCCGTGGAGGCTGTGCCTGGCTGCCTGCAGCGGGGTTTCTGCCCTGCTCCACACCAGTGGTCCGAGCAGGGAGAGGACACGGGGACGCAGCAGAGCTCGGCCAGGCTGTGCGGGCGCAGGTGCCACCACTGCTGCTTGGTGACAGCAGGAGAGGGCACCCACGAGCTGTCTCTGCCCGCTGTGCCAAGCAAGCTGCAGGCTTGAGTGGAAATGAAGGTTTTGAGGGTTTTTTTTAATGCCTGAATCACTAATTCAGCATCTGGCCTAGTGCCTGGAGTTGAGCCTGTTGTGCTCGGCCCCTTGCTACGTGTTACCTACCCGAAATCAGGGACTGGGGTGACTTTGGATTGCATCAATAGGCACCTTTCCAAGGTAGCAGCTCAGAAGACGATGTGTGGGGGTGCTTTGAAGCTGCCAGGAGTGGGGAGAAGCGGGTCCTGCTACGGTGCACACAGGCTCCTGCCTGTCCACGCGTGGCTCGTGGTCCGAGGGGTGCTGCTGGCGCGTGACTCTGCCCACTTTAAAAGCAACTAACACCGTCTGCGCTTTCGCACGTTGTTAACTTTTGCCTCAAGATGGCATTTTTGCGCTTTAAAAATGTGTCTGAGGCTTTTTGCACATCCATCATGACAGATGAAAACAGTTTTCTGAGCAACTTTGCCGTTTGACAGCAGGTTACCATGATTTTCCGGTGCCGCCGAGGATCCCAACCAGCAGCTGGGGTGACTGGGAAAATAGCGTGATGTAGCCCCTGGGCTGGACAAAGCCCGTGCGTGTCGGCAAAGCAATTACTCTCTTGGTTCTTCGTTAAACGTTGATACACCCAGCACTGGCCGAGCAACGTACTTCTCCCAGACCAAGACGGGGCTCTCTTTGAGGCTCGGCTGTCATGGCCGATGCAGAAGGAAGTAATCCTGCTGGCTCAGTTACAGTGTGGTGTAGCCACACGTGCCGTTGTCCCCTTCCTGGGGATGGGATTGCTCCTGGCAGGGGTGAGTCAAGGGGCTGGGGGCTCAGGAGGTTGGGGCGCGGGGTGTCCGCGCCGTACCCTTCGCAATGGGCAAACCTCCAAGGCGCCAGCCCCGGCCTGGAGTGGTGGTGCTTGTGGCTGGGGGGGGGGCCCCAAAGGAAGATCAGTGATCCCAAAGGAAGGTGGGTGTAGTCCCCTCTTGAAAAGGCGGCCAAGAGCTGGCTGCCTGACCCAGGGTGAGGTGCAGGAGGAGACTGTCAGTCTGAATTCGAGCTGTGCTGAATCCCTTCACCTTGGGGTCTCCTGGGGGGCTTCAGGCATCTGGGGACCTCAGGCCAGAAGTGACGTGACGAAGGGCGTGTGGAGAGGCTGGGCAGAGTCCTCCCTCCCTCCTGCACGTCTGCTGTTGTCGTGATGTGTTGCCGAACAAGTAGCGAGGCACTGGGGCAGACTGGGAGACACTCGCTCCTGCGTACTCTTGCTGGTAACGCAGAGCCCAGCCTGGCTCCTCGTGCGCAGCCCACCCTGGGTGCGTGCTGGCATTGGGGTGAAAAGGATGAGCTGAGTCCCTGGGCCGCAGGAGGTGGGGAAAACCTCTCGGGCTCCCGAGTTTCAGAGCTTGCTAAGGCAGAAAAGGGGGATTTGGAGGCTGTTGTAGAAGGGCTGCCCTCTCCTTTTTGTCGTGCATGCCCTTTCCACGCCTTGACTCCATAATCATTGCTCTGCCTAACAAGAGAGACGAGTATGTATCTGAGCGTTGCATTGCTTGGAAGCGAAGCGTTTGTTGTGTGTGGTGTATGCTTACAGCACTGTCACGGCATTAACCAGGAGGACTGTTTTGTCTTCCCTCCACAGCCTGGAAGTGTCTCCTCAGGTAGAAACCAGCTCAGATGCTCCTTCTCATTTTCCTCCCTGCTCCCCTGCCCAGTTTCCTCCTGCTGCTGTAGCCCATCTCGCTAGCATGCCAAGCACTAACCTCTCTCCCGCTACTGGAGACAGTCAGTCCGGATGCTTGTCCCCTACCAACCCATTCCTCAACTCCCTGCAGAGCAATCCCTTCTTTGAGGACCTCCTCGCTGACCAGGTACTAAATTCTCCTTCACCTACTCACTTTTTCTCTAGTTTCCCGTCTGGGCCGCATGCTTCAACAGAGGCCGCCGGGAGCTTTTATTCCTCTGAGGATTGCAGTCCCTCTGCCTCCCTAAGACATAAAGACCCGGAGAGGGAGTCTTCAGCCAAAAGCGTTTGTGTCCCCGTTCCAGAAACTACTCCCCCATCACCAGGAGATCTTCCTCCTCCGGACGAGAAGCCCGCCGTCCCTCCTCCCCTCTCGGAGTGGGACGATACCTTCGATGCTTTTGCGACCAGCAGACTCAAACCTGAACTGAACAAGGAAAACTTCTTCGCTTCGGTGTCGGCAGAGGGCATGGCTTTCATCGACGATCCCGATGCAGCCAGCCCCACGGGCACATCGGCTAAGCCGGCGTGCGAGAAGGGGACGAACGTATTCGAAAAGGCCGATTCGCAAATCAGCAGCGAAATGCCCACAGCTCTACGGTCTTGGACGAATTTCTCAGGTTTAGATGTGGGAGCGAACTTGGTGAGCACAACCCAGGAAGCGACGGTGATAGAGGATGTGCTGAGCCCTGTGTCCGTGGGGTCGATGGCAAGGAGGAAAAGCAGCACGCCTACGGTTTGGACAGTTGCGTTTACGTCGGGAAACCCGGGGGAAAAAGAGGCTTCTGCGCCACTATCAGCTGAAAATAGTGCTAGGGAGGAAGGGGACGGCAGTGAGGAGGAACCCTCGAGTGCAGGGACAAACGGATGGATGACCATAGCCACCGAAACGGCCCCCGACCTGTCGGAGAGCACCCCAGGTGTGGCTGGGCAGGAGCGCGTGGGGCAGGAGAGCGCGTTCGGCCCGCGGCCGTCCTTCCTCAGTGAAGGCGCCTTTGAAGCCAGAAGCGGATCTCACGTAGCCACTTACGCGTTGCCCGGAAGCCCCTTTGCCCCTGAGCTCACCGCTGAAACCCTGCCAGGCAGCAACGTGGTGGCCGTGCCCCCACGGGTGCTCACAGATGTGGCGTCACGACAGGTCCCCGCAGCCCCCGAGCCAGGCATGGACACCCAGGGTGCCGGTAGCGAGGGGGAAACGTTTGACGTGCGGACTTCGGTCTACCGGCTCCAGGCTAGCATGCGGCTCGAGGCCAGCGAAAGCCGTGTACAACTCAGCTCCGACATCTGCGAGAGTCGCGTCATCCTCTCTCCGTGGACAGGTACCCAAGAGAAGGAGGTGGCAGCCATCTCAGCCGCGCCACCCCCCAAACCTCCGCGGTGGTTCGCAGCCCCGGGCGGCAGAGGGGACAGTGAGGAGGAGGATGTTTGTGACCCGCAGCGAGGCAGCCAGGAGCGATGGGAAGACACGGAGGGCCCGAAGGCAAGCGTGGAGCTGCCAAAGAGCCATCTGAGCAGCGAGCCCTCTGTCCCGGCGACTCCCAGCCCGCCCGCGCTG